TATAATATAATATAATATAATATAATATAATATAATATATATCTTCTTTGTATGCATGTTCTGTGTTTATATCTGAAGTTATAAATATTGACTATATATTTGTATTTTTAATATAGCTACATTGGGTACTGGCTACTAGGAAAGATGCAGAGAGCAGCTTGAAAAGAGCTTTTTTAAGGCAATGAACCATTAGGAAAATCAATAGGCCTTAGGAGAAATTTATCTCCAACCTAGTGAGCCTTCCTCAGTATGCTCCATATAGCATGGACCTGCCATGAAGGCAGGGAATTGGATTTGATGGCCTCTCAAGGTCCTCCCAGTTTTAAGAGTCTATGGTTCTATGATTCAATGAATGAGGGCAGGATGGTCAAGATGTGGGGTCCTATTCAAGCGAGCTATTTGGTCTGTAGCCTCTCTATTGTTGCTTCCTGAAGTGGCTGCTCAGAATTCCTGCAGGTAATAGATGTTTGTAGACCAGAAGGGATCTTTGTGATCATGGTTTTTCTTCCTGCAAAGCACATGCTGGAGAATTTCCCCAAAATTATTTCTAGAAATCTATGCTATTGGTTTTCCATGTAGGGACTTCCAGGTCTGTTGGTACCTATAGTCTGTTTTCAAGTCAAACCTTAACCATCTTTGTTAAACTAAATAGATTGAGCTCTTGGAGTCTCTCCGCATAAGGCAGGTTTTCTCATCTTTTCTAATTACATTGACTTTTCTCTGAACCCTTTTCAGTGTATCAATATCCATCTTTCATTGTGTTAACCAGAACTGGACAAAAGATTCCAGCAGCAGTCGCACGAGTGACAAATATAAAGGTAAAATCATTTCTCTGATTCTCCTTCAGATTTCTCTGTTTGTCATCCTGTGATAGCGTTAGCTCTTTTAGCCACAGGGGCACGTTGGGAGCTCATGGTGAGCTAATTATCCCTTCTGGTCCACAGCTTGGTCAGAGTCATTGCTCGTTCCATGATAGTCCTTCATCATGAAAGCACTGCCTACATTTTCTTTATTCCCAGATGTGCATATGCATCTGGCTGTATTAGAACACATCATTTGATCTGACTCAGTTTTCCAACTAACCCAAATTACTCTGAATCTGTGGCCTATCATCTTTATTATTTACAATCCCCTAGTTTATGTGTCATCAGCAAACATCATCAAGATCCAGGCAGGAGAAGAGTAAACAGATGAGTTGCTGACAAGTGTCTCTGCTTCAGCATGTCAGTTAACATCTGTAATTTATGTATCAGGCAAAGCTGCAAGAAAGTGCCTCCCCAAAAGACATAAGGGAAGTAACCAAGGTGGAGGTCCAAATCCAGAAATACCAACACCCTTGCTCCCTTCATTCCCATTCTATTAAACACAACGTCATAATCAATAGGGGTGTGTCTACACAGCAGCGTTATTCCGAAATAACAATGTGAGCGTTTACTCAGCAATTCTGTTATTTTGAAATAAATTCGAAATAACGGGCGGCTTATTCTGACTTCTGTAAACCTCATTCCACAAGGAATAACGCCTCTTCTGCAAAATTTTGGAATAGCAGTAGTGTGGATGCTCCACTGCTGCTATTTTGAAATAAGTCCTCCCTAGGGCCATTCAAAGTAATTTCTCCCCAGTACCTCCTGGGGCTCTTAAATCGAGGTATGACATCCACATTAGGGGAGCCTGCCTCGGACTAATTTAGGGGCTTCCCTATTGGGACATGTTATTTCAAAATAAACTATGGAGGGAAAACCATGCTCCTTCTCAGTATTGGAATTGCAACGTGGAACAGACCCATCATGTATATATTCCTGCTTCTCACAGTGACAGCCCCAGCTCTTCCAGCCAGAGCTATCCTAGAATCCCAGGGCTAGCAGAGACTTCAGGAGGCATCAAGTCCAACCTCCCACCCAACGCAGGACCAACCCCAACTCAATCATCCCAGCCAGGGCTTTGTCAAGTCACGACTTAAAAACCTCTAGGGATGGAGATTCCACCTCCTCCCTAGGGAACCCATCCCAGTGCTTCACCATCCTCCTAGTAAAGTAGTTTTTCCCAATATCCAATCTAGACCTCCCCCACTGCAACTTGAAGTGGGTGAATGGGGATGCAGGGCAATATGTGATCTTCTTCAGGCAATCAACCGAATGCCTAACAGCTAGAAATGGGTGTGTCCCTGAAACAGGGGGATAAAGGCTTTTTGAAAATATGTATTTAGCTGTAAGTATTATGACTGGATAATCTCAGTATCCATGTAAATGTCCAAGACTCTCATGATTCGTGTTTAGTTCATGGCCCCAACCACATCTTGTGTCAGTGAGTTCCCCAGTCTAATTAGTGTGAAGAAACCATTCCTTTTTAACGTTTTGAATTTGCCATGGTTCACGTTGAACAAATGTTCCTTGTCCTTGTCTTGTGAGACAGAGAGAACACATTCTCCATCTAGAATCTATGAGTTGGTATCATATAGATTTTTTCCCCAAGTCTCCTCTAATTTCTCTCCTTTGTAAGGTAACAGTCCCAGTCTTCTTAACTTCTCTCTCCCCTTTGATCATTATCCTTGCCTTTGCATGAACCCCTCTAGAATGGCAATTTCCTGTTCTAAAAGGGTTCCAGTACTACACAGAGGAGTCCAGAGGAGGGTGAAACATTGACCGACTAATCTCATGGCATTGCATTTTCTATTTCACTTAGTGGAAGCAGGAGGAGAATCTATGACCCAGGTTTCACAGAACTGCCTATCAGAGGCTGTGTCTAGACTACATGGCTCTATCGATGGAGCCATGTAGATGAGGGTTGTAGGGAAAGGGAAATGAAGCCACAATTTAAATAATCGCGGCTTCATTTAAATTTACATGGCTGCCATGCTGAGCCGACAAACAGCTGATCAGCTGTTTTTCGGCTCAGCGCGCTAGTCTGGACGCTCCGTGCTGACCTGAAATCCTTTTATCAACATGAAATGCCTCGTAGGATGAGGTTTACCGGGGATGTCGATAAAAGGCTTTCATTTCGACAGGGGAGCGTCCAAACTAGTGCGCTGAGCCGACAAACAGCTGATCCGCTGTTTGTCGGCTCAGCGCGGCAGCCATGTAAATTTAAATGAAGCCGCGATTATTTAAATCGCGGCTTTATTTCCCTTTGCCAAACAAACAAATCTACATGGCTCCATCGATGGAGCCATGTAGTGTAAACATACCCATACAGCCCAAGTCCTTGTCCTGAGTTCATAACGTTAAATTAGAACTTTGTTAGTTGTTTGAGGAGTTGAAGATTTTCCCTCCAATGGGAAGACCGGTTGCAGTTATTGATATCCAATTTCTCCTCCCATCATGTTGCCCATCTATGAGACTTGGTTATCTCCCTCCAAAGACTTCCCTAAACAGCACTGCATCCTAAATAATCGATTGCTCTCTGTATATATTGGCACCTTACTGCACCCACTTTTTAGATCCCTAATAGGTATAAAATATTCACCATACTATTTGTTATAAATTGTATAACCACCTTGCTGTGCTTCTCTCCCTTCATAGGCACCATGAGCATTTCTAAGCCCAATCCAGGCATCAACCACCTCATGGCAACTTTCAACTATACCCAACTTAACCCTACAACATTCGTTCTTACGGGCATCCCTGGCCTGGAAGGTGCCCACATCTGGATTTCCATCCCTTTGTCTACGTTCTACATTGTCAGCCTGCTGGGAAACGTCACAGTTTTGTTTGTGGTAGGCAAAGAGCAGACCCTGCACCAGCCAATGTACCTGCTCCTCTGCATGCTGGCGCTCACCGAAATTGGGACTTCTACCTCTGTCATACCAAAGGCCCTGTGTATATTTTGGTTCAATTTGAAAGACATTACAATGAGTGGATGCCTCACCCAGACTTTCTTCCTTCACACATTTTCTATGACACACTCAGCCATCCTGGTGACAATGGCCTTCGATCGCTACGTGGCCATATGTAACCCCCTGAGATACATCACCATCCTCACCAACACACAAGTAGCTAAGCTTGGGCTAGTGGGCTTGCTAAGAGCTGTTCTCTTCATTCTGCCCATGCCCCTGCTCCTGAGCAGGCTGCCGTTCTGTGACAACCGCATCATCCCCCACACGTACTGTGACCATATGTCTGTGGCAAAGGTGTCGTGTGGGAACATCACATTAAACAAGACTTATGGGTTAGTGGCAGCATTTATAGTAATTGTGTTAGACCTGACACTCATTGCTCTGTCCTATGGCTTGATTTTCAGGGCCGTCCTCAGAATCTCCTCCAAGAAAACCCACCTGAAAGCCCTCAGCACCTGCACCGCCCACATCTCTGTGATGCTCATATCATACCCGCTCTTACTTTTCTCCACTCTCACACATCGGTTTGGTCAGGGTATCTCTCCACACGTGCACATCATCTTGGCCAACCTCTACATCCTTGTCCCACCCTTGCTCAACCCTTTCATTTATGGGGTCAAAACCAAAGAGCTTCATGACAAGCTGGGCCAATACATCTGCAGGGTGTTACCCCTTGGGACTACTGACATGAAACCTGGGTGAACAGAGGGAGAAAGGCCATGTCCTCATTAATCAAGGGTTCTGTCTCCTAATTTGGTTAAGATGAAGCAACATGGAAATTCAGTCTAAGAAGTCCCTCCGATCTATCCCTCTATAACCACTGGCTACGTCTACACTGGCCCCTTTTCCGAAAGGGGCATGTTAATTTCACAGGTCGTAATAGGGAAATCCGCGGGGGATTTAAATATCCCCCGCTGCATTTAAATAAAAATGTCCGCCTCTTTTTTCCGGCTTTTAGAAAAGCCGGAAAAGAGCGTCTACACTGGCCCCGATCCTCCGGAAAAAAGCCCTTTTCCGGAGATCTCTTATTCCTACTTTGAAGTAGGAATAAGAGATCTCCGGAAAAGGGCTTTTTTCCGGAGGATCGGGGCCAGTGTAGACGCTCTTTTCCGGCTTTTCTAAAAGCCGGAAAAAAGCGGCGGACATTTTTATTTAAATGCCGCGGGGGATATTTAAATCCCCCGCGGATTTCCCTATTACGACCTGTGAAATTAACATGCCCCTTTCGGAAAAGGGGCCAGTGTAGACGAGCCCAAACACTGCTCTCTCCATTTCTGGGATCCCTCTTTCTGACCATCACCTTATCATTTTCAGCATGACCTGTCCACCCCCATCTTCACACAATCTATCTTCACACAATCTGTCACTCAGCCTTTCTGTGGTATCATAAGAACATAGGAACGGCCATATGGGGTCAGATCAAAGGTCCATCTAGCCAGGTGTCCTCTCTGCCAACAGTGGCCAATACCAGATGCCCCAGAAGGAGGGACCACAACAGGTAATCCTCACATAATCCCTCTCCTTTCACCCATTCCCAGACAAACAGAGGCTAGGAACACCATTCCTACCCATCCTGGCTAATAGCCATGATAGACCTAACTTCCAAGAATCTATCTAGCTCTTTTTTGAACCTTGTTAAAGTCCTAGTATCCACACCACCAGGATGTACTGCATTTTTCTGAAGCAATGTGGCTTTCAGTTAGACCATGTGTGAACAGGTTTTTGGATCAATTTCAGGAAGAGAAGCTATGGTTTTTGATAGCCTAAGAAAGTAACTCCAATGCTGAGCTTCTTAATTATATGTACGGTGATCCAGGTGTAACTGCCATCAGGAAGATTTGAACCTTGGACCGCTGGAGCTTAGTGTAGGAGCTTCTATTTTTTCAGCTAAAAACCAGCTGCTTGTCAGCCCAGGCTGTAGAGCTCCCTTGTTCCTAGCTATTGCCGTAAGTGGTCTAAGTGCCACTGCATGGGACAATGACCCACACTAGGGCTATGTCTACACTCGTGGCAAGAAGTCTTGTACAAGATAATTTCCACGCTGCCACGTGCGTGCTGTTCTTTTGCGCAAGAGCTCCCATGGCAGTGTAGACACTCTCTTGAGCAAGAAAGCTCCAACGGCCATTTTAGCCCTAGAGCTTTCTTGTGCAAGAAATCCCGGCCAGACTCCTGCGCAAGAGGGCTTACACCTGTTAAAAAAAGAGCATAGCTCTTGCTCAAGAAGCCCTCTCTTACCATGCTATACTGTAAATTTCCTTGCGCAAGAGCGGGTGGACAGTGTAGAGGCTCTGCGGATTCTTGCGCAAGAATGACCATAGTTTGCAAGAAGCCACGAGTGTAGACATAGACTAGGGGTGTGGATTACATAGGGAGCAAAAATTACCAGATTTCTCTATGTCCCATAATTCAGAAAGTCTGGATTATAAACCAAATATTCCCACTGGAAACTGCTAATACAGAAAATATGCTGTAGAATTAAAGACGTACTAGAGTTTGTTTCTGAAAGTTGTGGGAGTGTGTTTTTTGAGAGCTGGACTGTGTTACCCTGGATTTGAGGGGTGTTTACATCCAGAATCAGTAAAGTTCCAGCATGGAGCACAAGCTGACTTGGTCATCCGAACCTAACAGCAGAAGGTCACGCATTGGCCAGAGAAAATGATTGATAAGTGCATAAAAATGGGGTGATTTGGGGGTTACCACTCCTTTTTAGTACTCCTTAAAATACTAACTAGGTAACAATTAGTAACTACTCACCCATTGGACAGGATTTTATAACATGTGACTCATCTGGGGCTAGAGATAATAAGAATCAAGCCAAACCAACTACTAGTGGTTCCTTAATTTAAGCACCTGAAGACGCTGATGATGCTCCTTTTGTAGATTATGAAAATGTCAACCAGAGGGCTTTCCAAGGGCTTGCTTCAGGGGAATCAGACCAGAACAGTATATGAGGTGAGCCCAAGAACTGTCTGTGTATGTTTGTGAAAGAAAGGCTCTTGGAAGAGGTCTAGTTTCTCATGCATTGCTATGTCTAACGTGGGAGCTGCTTGCTTGATGTAACCCCCTTACTGCTGGTATAATTTCATCTTAATAAAGTTGCTAGGCAGGCACAGGTAAATTCCCTGGTTTGGCATTTTTCACTGACAGCCAACAGTAATCAACTCCACCAGGAGTCGTTAAAAATACAAGAGGGGCAGGGATTGTCATACCCCGACCCTGGATGGTCCAACATATGCCATTAGCTTTGTTGACATAAAGAGCTCACTTTTGACTCATTTCCTGGTCCCAGTCCACTGCAATTCCCAGGTCATTTCTTGCAGAACTGCCTGTTAACCAGTCAGTCCCCAGCCTCTAGCTGTCCATGCAATTTTTCCTTCCTAAGTGCAGGACTCTGTACTTGTTCTTGTTAAACCTCATCAGATTTATTTTGACCCAGTCCTTCAATGTGTTTGAGTCACTCTGGACCCTATCCCTGCCCTCCAGCATATCTGCCTGTCCTGGAGAGGCATAAGTATCTTGCAGAAAAACCCCTAGGGCTAAAACGGAAGGAAAGGGAGTATGCAAATGAAGCACGGGAAAATGCTAATCTGTGCTTCATTTGCATTGGATCTTGCAGAAGAAGTCATAGTGAAGACAAAGCTTTAGTGTCATCTGCAAATTTGTTGAAGGTATGAACCAGCCCCTCATCCTGATCATTAATTAAGATATTGATTGGACCTCAGGAGCACTCTGCTTGATACCAGATGCTAACAAGACATCGAGTTGTTGTTCACTACCCTTTGAGCCTGATAGCTTTATATCCCCGATAGTCCAGTCATCCAAGCCAGACCTCTTGTGAGTATACTGTGAGTATGCTGTGAGTATACAGTATATTGTTCTGGTGAGTGTACTGTGAGAATCTGTATCAAAGTCTTCGCTAATGTCAAGATATGTCATGTCCACCGCTTTCCCCAGTTATCTTATCATAGACAGGAGTCAGGTTGGCTAGACTTGAGTTGCCCTTGGTGAATCCATGCTGGATGTTCCCGATCACCTTCCTCTGCTCCATGTGTTTCAAAATAGATTTCTTTATGAACTTCTCCAGGATTTTTCTAGGGACTTGAAGAACAGTATTAGAAGAACCGCTAGCCAAAAACTCAAAAAGTAGTAGCATATTTTTTAAGGACACCAAAAGCAGGGAGCCTGCTAAATAACCAGTAGAGCCATAGGACAACCAAGATGCTAAAGGGGTACTCAAGGTAAGGGGAGAGAAAGCCATGAAGACTGACACAAAGAATTCATTTATTAAGTACATACGAGAGATTAACCAAACTGGAGCCATTATTTTAAGGTGACAAATATGAAGAACTGTCCCAGATTGAGGTGTCATCAGAGGAGATTTTGGAACAAAACGATAAACTAAACAGTAACAAGTGACCTGGACCAGATGGTATTCCTGCCAAAGTTCTGAAAGAACTCAAATGTGAAATTGCAGAACTACTAACTGTGGTTTGTAACCTAGCCTTTAAATCAGTGTCTGTACCTAATGACTGGAAGATAGCTAATGTGACACACATTTTTAAAGGGGGCTCTAGAGGTGATCCTGGAAATTACTGGCTGATAAATCTAACTTCAGTAGGAGGCAAATTGATTTAAACTAGTAAACAACAGAATTGTCAGACACCTACATCAACTTAGTTTCTGTAAAGAATTCTCCAGCCCTTACCCAAGCCAATGGCGACTTCTCCTAAGGATGGAACCCTTCCCATCCTGTCTCTTTCCCATCACATTGGAGACCACACCGTGGAGGGGCTCTCCCTGCATCCCTGGCCCAACAGAATAGCAGAGATCCCTTCAGTGGAAGACGTATCCTGCAGGGGTGGGGGAGGGGAATCTGATCCTAAATTGGGGAGGAAGAGGAGGAGAAAGACTCATCATTCAGCGGGAGGCAATCTCAGAGGAGTGGGCAGGTTTTGACAGGGGGCCCGTTACACATCTGGGCCACTCTCGGATGTGAGAGGGCTCATTTCCTCTAGGGCCCTGGTGCCCAACATCTGTCAACTGCAGACTTCTACTGGGTACCATGTCCCCGCTGGCTTTCTGTCCCCCTCTGGCGTGGCAGCAGTGGGTAGAGCCAGTAAATCCACTTCCTGGCATGTCTGCCCATGTCCATGGCTGGCTCTGAGCCCTGAGATTCCCCGTCTTGGGGAACTGAGCTGAGTTCTAATGGAATCATCGGTCTTCTACTGTCCGCTCCCAGTGCCCCCTGGGTCAGGACTGTCTCACCCTAGGTTTCTCAGCAGGAGATGCATGGAGAGAGGCACTAAGTATCTCTGTCCACAAGGGAGGAATACCCCGGCAAAAGAGGATGATCCTGAGGAGGCTCCTCCCCACGCTCACATACACGATCCAGAATTTTCTCTCAATCCTCAAGACAGACCTCAAAAGCAATTCTGGTTGTAGCAAAGCTACGGGGGGCTCTAAGGCAGCCAATGCCCTGCAGCCGGCCTGACCTGGTGGTTGTTATGGACTCTCTGTGAGGTCAGCACCTCCCAGTCTCCTTTGACCAATAAGCTGAGGTCCTGCAAAGGGCTCTTGTGAGGTCACAGTCACGTCCACCCCCTGCTCTGCAGGGCTAATGTCCTGCCCCGGCCAGGTGCTTTGCATGTAAATAAGTGAGGATGTAAGCAGATAAAAGGATAAAAATCATGAGTGGCGATGCCTCTGATAGTACGTTTTTTGAAAGTTAGGAAACTTTATGACCCCTGCTTGTGGTTTTGCCCAACTAAATCTGTGATATTTCACTCCTTTCATTAAACCTTTCTTTTCTCCACTCAGGCATTGTGCTTGTCCATGGGGAAGTTTTGCCTCTGAGGCTATGTCTAGACTGCAGGCTTCTTTTGGAAGAAGCTTTTCTGAAAGAGATCATCCGAAAAATCTTCTTCCGAATGGAGGATCCACACAGCACATCGAAAAAGTGATCTGCTTTTTTGAAAGAGCGTCCACACTGAATGGACACCATCTCACATGTAAGCTGTGATTACTTTGGGCGGAGTGGCCACCAGGGCACCTGTGCTTTTTCCTCTTTCCTCTTCTTAAGAAAGAACTCCCTCTTCCACACATACCTGTTTCCGAAAGAGCTCTTTCGGCAAAAGGCTTCATCCTCATAGAATGAGGTTTCCCAATGTCAGGAAAACCTCTGAATTCTTTCAATTTTCTTTTGATTGCAGTGTGGACGTCATTCAAGCTTTGTCCGAAAAATGGCCGTTTTTCTGAAAAATCTCTATAGTGTGGATGCACCCTGAGGTACACAGAGGATTTCCCCAGATTACTGGGTGGAGGTTCAAGATAGCTCTGTGCTGTGTGGCTGAAAAGGTGTCATCCCTATTGATTGAACCCGGCCTTATCATAGAATCATAGAATCATAGGACTGGAAGGGACCTCGAGAGGTCATCGAGTCCAGCCCCCCGCCCTCAAGGCAGGACCAAGATCCGTCTACACCATCCCTGACAGATGTCTATCTAACCTGTTCTTAAATATCTCCAGAGAGGGAGATTCCACCACCTCCCTTGGCAATTTATTCCAATATTTGACCACCCTGACAGTTAGGAATTTTTTCCTAATGTCCAATCTAAACCTCCCCTGCTGCACTTTAAGCCCATTACTCCTTGTCCTGTCCTCAGAAACCAAGAGGAACAAATTTTCGCCTTCCTCCTTGTGACACCCTTTTAGATATTTGAAAACCACTATCATGTCCCCCCTTAATCTTCTTTTTTCCAAACTAAACAAGCCCAGTTCATGAAGCCTGGCTTCATAGGCTTCTCTAGACCTTTAATCATTCTTGTCACTCTTCTCTGTACCCTTTCCAATTTCTCCACATCTTTCTTGAAATGTGGCACCCAGAACTGGACACAGTACTCCAGCTGAGGCCTAACTAGTGCAGAGTAGAGCGGCAGATCCCACCATTGGCCTATTTACCACTGATAGTGAAAGGTCAATTAATTGCCAACATCATGTTATCCCATCAAACCATCCCCTTCATCACCATAGTTGCCAAGATCATGTTATCCCATCAAACCATCCCCTTCATCACCAAGGGTACGTCTAGACTGCTGGCTTCTTTTGAAAGAAGCTTTTTCTGAAAGAGATCTTCTGAAAAATCTTCTTCCGGAGGAGAGTATCCACACTGAATGGACACCACCTTGCATGTAAGCTGTGATTTTTATGGATGGAGCATAATAATGTGCTTTTTCCTCTTCACTCTTCTTTCAAAAAAACTCCCTCTTCCCTGTCCACATACGCCTTTTTCCAAAAGAGCTCTTTTGGAAAAAGGCTTCTTCCTCGCAGAATGAGGTTTGCCAATGTTGGAAAAACCCCTTTGGTTTTGGGATTTATTTTTGAAAGAATGCGATTGCAGTGTGGATGTACGTGAAGTGTTTTCGGAAAATGGACATTTTTCCAAAAAAACTCCCTGCAGTCTAGATGCATCTGAAGAAAGCATTCTGAAGAAGTGCAAATCCACCTTGGTGGTCACAGGAACACGGCAATTCCTACATCTCACAGACCCAGGGGTGAAAACATATCACACTCACACACTTTGGATCCTAATTGAGACTCCTGGAGCACCAGCATGGGGCAGGGATGTCGCTGAACCAAAAGATACAGTTGCAGGAGTTGGATATCTCTACCACTCTGATGTCACTGCTTTGGGGCACAACTACCTGAAACATCACCACACTGAAATGGCCATCAGGCAACACTTCGGGCAAACTCTGTGGCTGTTCTCTCATAAAATGGGGGATACCACAAAGGATAAACTCCCGGGCTATTGTCTACACTTACAGCTTCTTGAGTCAGAAATATGCAAATGAGGCTAAGTGTGGCATATCACCAAGCCTCATTTGCATACCTAATGAGGCGCCATTTTTGCAAAAGAGGCTCTTGCACAAGCATCATAGAATCATGGAATACTAGGACTGGAAGGGACCTTGAGAGGTCATCGAGTCCAGCCCTCTGCCCTCATGGCAGGACCAAATACTGTCTAGACCATTCCTGATAGACATTTATCTAACCTACTCCTAAATATCTCCAGAGATGGAGATTCCACAACCACCCCAGGCAACTTATTCCAGTGTTTAACCACCCTGACAGTTAGGAAGTTTTTCCTAATGTCCAACATAAACCTCCCTTGCTGCAGTTTAAGCCCATTGCTTCTTGTTCCATCCTTAGAGGCCAAGATGAACAAGTTTTCTCCCTCCTCCTTATGACCCCCTTTTAGATATCTGAAAACGGCTATCATGTTGCCCCCCGCACTCAATCTTCTCTTTTCTAAACTAACCCAATTCTTTCAGCTTTCCCTCATAGCCCATGTTCTCTAGACCCGTGGTCACCAACCGGTCAATCATGATCGACAAGTCGATCGCGAGGTGTTCATGTCCAAACACTTCGGGCAAACTCTGTGGCTGTTCTCTCATAAAATGGGGGATACCACAAAGGATAAACTCCCAGGCTATGTCTACACTTACAGCTTCTTGAGTCAGAAATATGCAAATGAGGCTAAGTGTGGAATATCACCAAGCCTCATTTGCATACCTAATGAGGCGCCATTTTTGCAGAAGAGGCTCTTGCACAAGCATCATAGAATCATGGAATACTAGGACTGGAAGGGACCTTGAGAGGTCATCGAGTCCAGTCCTCAGCCCTCATGGCAGGACCAAATACTGTCTAGATCATCCCTGATAGACGTTTATCTAACCTACTCTTAAATATCTCCAGAGATGGAGATTCCACAACCCCCCTGCGCAATTTATTCCAGTGTTTGACCACCCTGACAGTTAGGAACTTTTTCCTAACATCCAACCTAAACCTCCCTTGCTGCAGTTTAAGCCCATTGCTTCTTGTTCTATCCTCAGAGGCCAAGATGAACAAGTTTTCTCCCTCCTCCTTATGACCCCCTTTTAGATACCTGAAAACAGCTATCATGTTGCCCCCTGCACTCAATCTTCCCTTTTCTAAACTAAACAAACCCAATTCTTTCAGCTTTCCCTCATAGCCCATGTTCTCTAGACCCGTGGTCACCAACCGGTCAATCATGATCGACAAGTCGATCGCGAGGTGTTCATGTCCAACCAACTCCCATTTTCCCCCACCCCTTAGAAGCACCACTACTTTACCTCCAGCGTAGTGCCAGTTTCCCACAGGGTGAACGGAAGTCCTGCCTGCAGCTTTGCGCCACTTCCAGGGGTTCCGGAAGTGCACTGGCTGGGCCCCCC